CAGGAACTCACTACAATTCGAGACAAATTTCTGTCATCAGATGGGTGTGACGCTAAAGAGATTCACGTCAAAGAAGTAAGGAAGTATTTGAAATAATTTGACGGAAACGCTGAATGTTTGTTAGAAAATTCCTGGAAGATATAAAGCAACATCATATTAACCGCTCTAGAAGGGTGATAATTGTGTTTTCTAGAATGACGTCATTACAAGACAGGTAACTAGTCATCTTGTGAGTTAGTCGATTGTTGTTGGGATGAGCTTCAGAGTGGTATTTGTTGAACATTTAAATAAAGAAAATGATTTATTATAGGTAAGCTAATATTTTGGAGAGTTACGTTTTCATCTGTGGAATGATAAGCATAATTTTTCAAATAATCGAAAATATTTGAAGCGCAACCTCGCCGGGTTAACTACTTCAATAGTTACAAACCCAGCCAAAGCCCCATGAAGAAAAGAGGTTGGGTATAGGGCTACCACCATACTACGGAAAACCAATCCAACCGCTAAAGAAACTTCAAAGCAAAAACAATATATAAAACATAAAAACAAACTTATTCCTAGCTGGAATCGGAGAGACGAAATGACCACAATTGGTGAAAACTCTCAGGAAGCCAATCCACCAATATGTCTTCTCTTCTCTCGATAAAAGCGAGAGTAAGGATGAGGACATGGAATGTCCACACCATGTCTGAACCTAGTAAGGCTGTCCAGATTGCAAAGGAGATGAGAAGGTATAACAAAGAAGTGCTGGGCTAGGAATCTGAGAAGGCAGGTGGAATGGAAGTGGACTCTCGAAACTGTCAACTGGAGACGAGTTAATAATCTACTTCGATATTGTCACCCAGACAACAACCACGAACATACCACACTGAGTTGTGGAGTGGCTATCATGATGTCCCTTTGAAGAGCATCAACAGCTCTCTCTCATACAGTGGACACCAATCTGTCCAGCGATCAGGATCATGACAGCAAGATTCAACTCAAGAAGAAGGAAAGTCACTATCATACAATGCTACGCTATGCACCCACAAATAATGCAGATGAGGAAGAGAAGCGAAGAAGGAGGAATTCTACAGACAACTACAATCAGTACTGGACAAGATGCCAGTTGGCGACATCGAAATTGTAATGTGTGGGGCGACATGAATGCCAAACTGGGAGGAGCGGACAACACAGGAAGAGAAGTGATCATGGGCAATTCAGCTTCGTTTCAACTACAGGTGGCAGCACAGTTGAGGATGACAAAGACAGGATTGGGAATACAGCAAAACAGGCCATCCTGCATTAATCTGTAATCGGTGTGGAGATGTTCTGCACTTAGCATGAAGTGTGAATAACATCCGGATTTTGAACACCAATGTCAGTCAATGTCAGTCAGTGCTTGTATGTGATGGTTGGGAAAGTTGGCGCATCACGGAAAGCATTTCCAACAAGCTTTCATTTCTTCCTAACACCACCTCCTCCATGTCATCCTTATCTCGCACACCCAACTCGTCGTTTCCTATCTGCGTCCCACTCAAAGACCTGACCTGAAAAGTGATCTCCACAATCAGCCCTATCAGTGTTTCCCAATCCATCTTCACATTCCTCTGCACATTTGTAGTTGGGCGATGACCTCTTGCTTGATTCGTTGGCAACCCACCAGAGTTCCTTGTTGCTAATTCTTATTATTCTGGCCATCTGATCTTCAGTGTCAGTATCGAGTGCACTCAGGGGACAGCTGTTGATGAATGTCTCATCTCAGTTGATCTCTTTCCTCCCAGATAGTAACCTAGTTATCTAAAATAATGTTATCAGGTCTCTATTATCAGCAGCCTGTCCTGATTCACTTGCAAGTGTGTTGTAGTGTCTTTTGTCTTTCCGTGAACTCTTCTTCACTTCCTTGTCCAGTGTAACGTTTTATAGGTTGTGTTCAGTTCCTCTTTACCTTGTTCATCCCTGCACTGCACTGCACTGCATTGCACTGGTTCATCCTCTGATTCAACATCCTCCTCTCCCTCCTCCATCACCTTCCATGTGTTCGTCAACATCCATTCCTCGTCTTCTTTATTCTTACTTCCTAACACGCTTATGCAGGTTTCCCTCCACATCTCTTTCACAGACTTCCAGTGTTCCTCCACTCAGGTTTCATCAGGGATGATGATGATGCTCAATGTCTCCCCTTTTGTCTAGATGGCTTACGTGAAGATGTTTCTTGTAGTTTCGTGCTTCAGTTTCTGTTCTGGATGTTCAACTTGAACCATGGTCTATCACCAGCTTCCTTGAATTCAAGGCTTTCAACTTGATTTTGAAGAAAGGTTGCTTGAATTAGATGGTGAGTGGTGTGAACCTACATCTGCTACCCTTCTTCATCTGATCTTGTGTCCAGTAGGCTGCATCTCCACTTTCTTCATTTTCAGATGAAGTCGATCTGATTTCTAGTGTAGTGTGTCTTGGTGTCTGGTGAAATCAAATCCATGTTGCTCGCTTTGTCAATATCCTTATGCTTGTTTGTACACACTGCCTGACTCCAATCCCCAAATCGTTGAATGAGCAGAAATCTGCAAACAATTTTCCATTCTCATTCATCACTTCACCGAGTGCCTCTCCACCCATGATCACTTCTCTTCCTGTGTTGTCCGCTCCTCCCAGTTTGGCATTCATGTCGCCCCACACATTACAATTTCGATGTCGCCAACTGGCATCTTGTCCAGTACTGATTGTAGTTGTCTGTAGAATTCCTCCTTCTTCGCTTCTCTTCCTCATCTGCATTATTTGTGGGTGCATAGCGTAGCATTGTATGATAGTGACTTTCCTTCTTCTTGAGTTGAATCTTGCTGTCATGATCCTGATCGCTGGACAGATTGGTGTCCTCTGTATGAGAGAGAGCCGTTGATGCTCTTCAAAGGGACATCATGATAGCCACTCCACAACTCAGTGTGGTATGTTCGTGGTTGTTGTCTGGGTGACAATATCGAAGTAGATTATTAACTCGTCTCCAGTTGACAGTTTCGAGAGTCCACTTCCATTCCACCTGCCTTCTCAGATTCCTAGCCCAGCACTTCTTTGTTATACCTTCTCATCTCCTTTGCAATCTGGACAGCCTTACTAGGTTCAGACATGGTGTGGACATTCCATGTCCTCATCCTTACTCTCGCTTTTATCGAGAGAAGAGAAGACATATTGGTGGATTGGCTTCCTGAGAGTTTTCACCAATTGTGGTCATTTCGTCTCTCCGATTCCAGCTAGGAATAAGTTTGTTTTTATGTTTTATATATTGTTTTTGCTTTGAAGTTTCTTTAGCGGTTGGATTGGTTTTCCGTAGTATGGTGGTAGCCCTATACCCAACCGTCCCTCTTTTCCGATGATTATAACCGTCTGATTGTTGGTAAGGAATTTGCTTTGCGAGGTTATATTTCTGTCTGAAATAAGGAGAAATGGCTGTACGATATTTAATATTTGACAAATTTCTTCGGCGGAAGCGTTACGAAATAGATAAGATTCTTTTGCTCAGTTGATTTGTGATGTATGTTATTTTAATTTTCGTTTCGCTTACTGTTTCATCACTGGTAAATTCGGAGTTGTCTTCATCCACTCAGGTTGTTCATTAGTATTATATTTCACTAGTTCATGACACTTTTGTGCTAAATATTATACATTATGATGTTGACTAGATGATTTCCAACGGAAACTCTTTTGACACTCTAGTTGGGCATTTGAAATACTACTCATTAGTGAGCAATTTCAATGTAGACCGTTCAATTTGTAAATCATTTTCAAACTAACCATGTTATTTAAGACATGCCTTTCACATATATTCATGGTCAAAATGGATTCATTTCATGGGATAGTTTTTATCAACGGACTCGAGTTCACTTCAAAAGTTAGTTTGATTCATGTGGAAAACACGTTTTAGACATTTAGTTGAAAATTTTTCCCATACAAGCCTGAACTATTGCATAAACCAGCGAAATCATTACAGTATATTGTGTGAAGACGGAAATCTATATTGGCAGAGCAAGACAAGGCATACACAGTCAGTTACCAATATTGTTCGCAGAACTACATTACCCAATCAGGGTACTTGAATAACCAAGATAATTATATATATTCAACATCAGTATAAAGGAAATACAACGCATTACTTTTATTTTCGCTATACGCAGACAGTCACAACTTTTGAATGTGGTGGTTTGTGAGGATTGAAAGATTTTTTCTTCAAATTGGTATTCATCATGAACTGACATCAGTTGGATGAACATTGGAAACCTGGTAGCACAGGACAGCGGTTTCTTCCTGATATGAGACTCTTCAGCAGTGAACCCGCCAGGGATGGATTCCGTGACATCCAGATTCCGTGGCCAGTACATTACCATTGAGCCGCTGGGTTGGGGTCCAATGGTCCATATTTCCAACTTTAACAGTTCACGACATAGCGCGACGGCCACCCATTGTCATCGTTGAGTATTTGTCCTCACGTCACCGAGGTTTGCTCTAGTGATCATGACTTCTCATTGAAAATTTAAGAATCACCTCTGTCAAAAAAGCATTATGTCTAGCAGTATGCAGTCGAGAATTTCTTGGTGGAAATATTTAACACTTATCTAGTTAGATGTGACTGAACTACTGACTCTGAGAATATGGATGTTCATGAGGAAAAAGAAATGGAATTGTTATCTACCGTGCATAGATACGTACTTGACCGAACGAACTTTAAAAGACTGTAAGCACTCGTTGACGTGTTACTAGATAATTTAGGAAATATTGGGTTATTTTAGTATTTGTCTGTTTCTGTTCTGTTAAACTTTATTTTGATAGCAAATAGGTATACTAGAGAAGGAATCTAAGGTTAGGGTTAACATTTCCTTCTATTTATAGATGATAAATCAACTTGCATGCCTATAGAAGAAACTACCTTATTGAATTATTATAACTCATAGATTACTCACCATCTGTTAATACAATACAATATAAAGTAGAAAATAAGATTTTATATCAATTTCTAATGTTCATTATTTGTACTAATGAAATCCCATAAATATTCTCCATACAATAAAATTATAGTTATTTAAACGGAATTGAAGTGAACAATCTTCAAAGTGTACAAATGTAGCTGAATATGAGCCTTTTACAATTAATACAATCCATGATGAAGAGAATTGTTTATCCATAAAATTTTTCATATATTCTGTTGCTATTTTTTCATCAAAACCATTTTTATTACTGACAAGTTTACGAAATTCACTAACAATTGAAATTTTCATATTCATTGGCATTTGATCAATTATAACTTCTATATCTGATCCAAGAAGTTCATTATTATTGTTAGATATTTGAGACTTTTCAGGTTTGACTACTTGTACATCACGTTGTTTACGACTAAATGAGAGTTAAACAAATAAATACACTTCATATAATTGTCTATAGTAATAAAAGTGAATCCGTAGTTAATTTCTAACTGTAGAAATTATGGTGAATACTTTTAGCTTAGAGTGTGTGTGTGTTCAGAGAATAACACACCATAAAGAGTAATTGTTGTTTTGAGGATAGATTTGTTTCCCGATCCAATTTTATAACAAGCAATAAGTGTGAAAAAAGTAGGATTTACTGAATTCATAAATTTCAGTAGTACTCGTCAACTGGATACTACTCTACATACTTAATTATATATTACCGTTAAGCAATGGAAAAGAGCATACATACATACATATACAACGTAGACAGAGGCAAATTTAGGTGTAACAACATAGAAGTGAATAGTTTTTACAGGTCAAATGGATATTCAAGATTTAAAGCAACTGGTCCCTTTGATAAATTTAAACAGCGTAATGAGAAGACGAAGATTATCTGAAACATGTGATGTATTACCGCTATACATTTCGAACAATCTGATCCCCCACACATGGACTTGTCGAACTATTTATATGAAAATTTACGAAAAGGTCAATGAAGTTAATAGGAAACATTGGAGGGAATAGGAAGGGATAGAGAAAGGAAAAAACCCTACTCTTGGTATGAAAATTAAAATCAATACTACCAAGGTAGGTTCAACGTGAGTACGAACTGTTTTTGTATACATAAAGGGGTTTAAATTTACGGATGGCAAGAGCTTCAATAAATTTAAGCACTCGGCTCTGACCACTTTTATGTAGTACTTTAAAGGCCGTTTCCTTTCATTTCTATCCTATGGTTAGTTTCTAGTATATGTTTAGCGATAGACGAAGATGGATGTTTGTCACCTGCACTTATCGGATCTGTTGAGGTCATTTGTTTTTGTAGCCACTTAGGTACATGTTCAACCTTCCTTAACTGTATATCATGATTACTCCTCCCTATATATGTGTATCTACATATACATGTAAATTGATAAACACAGTGGGATGTGATGTAATCGTTTATATGTTGTTTCGGTTAGTGCTGTAATATGGACTTGGTCTTCTCTACAATGATGACCTTAGCTGCATAATACGTTTTTACATCACATGTTTCAGATAATCTTCGTCTTCGCATTACGCTGTTTAAATATTCAAGATTGTTGAAATAGGGATGAGAACTGAATCGATTGAGCGTCCGTCGATCACGTCATTGAAAACAAGATAGTTAATGGTACTTATGCAGACAATAAGAAAACAAGGTGTATATTGAGATGAATAATAATGATAACATTGGCAATAGGAATAAGGTTAATTAGACGGAGTAAATCACCTAAATTTGTCTCAGTCTACGTTGTATATGTATGTATGTATGCTCTTTTCCATTGCTTAACGGTATATATAATCAAGTATGTAGAGTAGTATCCAGCTGACGAGTACTACTGAAATTTAGGAATTCATTAAATCCTGCTTTTTTCACACTTGTTGCTTGTTTTAAGTTTTGAAGATAGTTTTCATCATGGATTATGGTCATCTGGAAAAAATTTAAAGGCGTTAAACAGCTGTTTTGTCCTTATTCATAACTCCTCAGCACAGCTCAAGTAGGTCTGTCAGCGAGCATTGTTCATATAGCCATTGAAATGGTTTCCAATGTTCCAACCCCACTAAAACTCTCAATTATCAACCTACTGAGACTACACTACACTTTTTAATGTAGCCACCTTTTAATTTCATATTTTTTTTCTACTGTTGGAGGTTGCTACACTAATGTTTACCAGTTAGCCAACCCTTAATGCTCACCATTGTTGATGAGTAGATTAGTTATTTTAATTCGTCTATCAGATGATTCAGTCATTTCCTGAGTTTTTGGTATAATGATAGGCTAACTAATGGTTATATTGAACTTTATAAATGCTTATTGACGTTTGAATAGGATGAACCCAGGGTTGAAAATCATAATAATCCCGGGAATTCTGATTTCCGTAAGGATCAAGCATGTAACACACAGGTTGGAGTAGTAATCTGAGAACCATTTTTGGAGAAATTCACTTCATTCTAGTCTACATACCGTTATCAGTCTCAATCGATTCGATAATACCGTCAAATACTTACTCATATATTTATTGAAAGCGAGAACACATAAAATAGGGTAGAGGTTATCAAGCAGTTTCAGTTTGTAACAGCTGTTTAAATGTCATCAGTGCTATTGAATGTCATAATAGTATCACCCAGAACCTGTTTCATCCCCAAATGGTAGATTGCACTTCTACGCTGACATTGATTCAGATAAAACTTACTGCTCAGTTAGACTGTTTAAATAGATAATCGGGGCCTGATATCATATCAACGGGAACCATATGTAGTATTAAAAATAGGAGCAGCCTTGAAAATACATTTCTAATTGTTTCTTACTTTCCTGTGATTGGCTATCTGTTGTTGTCTGGACACGTACTGGTGTCTGATTGGTCGAAGTTATGAGTTGATATACAGCTATATTGAACTTGTCTATCTCATCGTTTGTTAACTATAATCTGCATCAAGTTTGCTATTAAATCACCTTGAATGCAAGTGTGCAGATTTATGCACTAATTATTTCAAGTTGTTATTCATCGTAGACTGACATCAGTTGGAGGAACAAGGGAAACCTGGGAGCACTGGAGAGCTGTTTCGTCCTAGTATGGGACTCCTCAGCAGTGCGCACCCAAGACCCCGCCCTCCAAGGATCGAACCCACGACCTTCAGGTTCCGCGGCCAGCGCGTTACCATTGAGCCACTGGGTCACAATCCAAAGCTCCATATTTCCAACTTCTGTCAGATTGCGACCGGTGGAGTCAAAGCATGATGGTCGCGAGGACAGATGCTCAACGATGACATTGGGTGGCGGTTGCGCTATATCGTGAGCTAACAGAAGTTGGAAATATGGAGCTTTGGATTCTGACTTAGTGGCTCAATGGTAACGCGCTGGCCGCGGAACCTGAAGGTCATGGATTCGATCCTTGGAGGGCGGGGTCGTGGGTGCGCACTGCTGAGGAGTCCCATACTAGGACGAGACGGCTGTCCAGTGCTCCCAGGTTTCCTTTGTTCCTCCAACTGATGTCAGTCTACGATGAATAACAACTTGGAATATTTGTAAATCTCCACAACTCCCTCAAAGTACTAAATATTATTAAATATAGAACTATGAATTATTGTTACGAGACAGTCTTCTAACTTTACCTGACTGTCACGTAGTTTTTTTTGGGTGAATCGTACAGATACGATAAGAATTTTCGAGCTTTGAGTCAATCATGTAGGGAGTTAGTAGACGCCCATCGATAAAGCTGAATGATGGTCACGGTATACTGCGAAACGATAGAAGTGGGAGAATGTAGACCATTGGATTCAAACCCATCTGCTGAAGGATGACATGCTAAATTTGTCAACTTAGCTGTAATTGGTTATGCTTTACCCACCCAACCATTCATACTGAGTATATATGAAGAACCATTGAACAACGTGCTACTAATTAATTGCACATTTATTTATCAGTTTATGCTACAATTCGATTACATATTTGATTGATTAGTAACTGAAAAGTACACTGAAAATTTCATTGAAAATTTGAGCATGATTTTTAGTTTTAAGGCAGAATTCATCACGCACTGACAACAGTTTAGGGACCGTTGAAAATCTGTGAGTACTGGACAGCTGTTTTGTCATATTATGGGACTTCTCATGGGGATAGTCGCATTATAGCGCGAAATGACCACAGTTAGAAACTGTAGACCACTGAACCCGATCCACTGGCTGAATGATTAATGCGTTCTCCGAAAACCTCTTTCGGCCGCAAAGCTTATAAGCTGGATGCAGTTATCAGTGTACACATAGTCAACCTTGCTTTAGGTAAGTCACAGATGCACAATGATTAGAAGATGCAAACTAAGAAGAAGTAGCAGGTAATTATTTGCTGGTATTCAGTGACTTAGTAGCTGTTTTGAGTTCACGATTATAAGTATCTATTCATTAACCAATTTATCAATTACTAATAAAAATTATAATAAATACTAGAGGTGGTAATAGAAAAAATCATGATGTTAACTAATAAAGTAACCTATGTCATCGACACGCGGAACCACGTTGCTGTACACTTCAACCAAAATATTATACCACATCATCCTGGAGAGACTAAAAAGCGCTCTGGATTCATAACTACAACCGGAACAGACTGACTGGCTGGCTAGCTAGCTAGCCTCAGGAAGTACCATTCATGTGACGATCAAATTGCAACGCCACGCCACGCATCATCATAGAACAGAGCACAGAATGGTAGTCCACTCAACTCCACTTCAACTTCATCCACTTTGAAAAGACCTTCTATCGAGGCGTCGACAGACAAGTAATTTGCCACACAGATGCTTCAACACTACGGTCCTAGTGCCACTGTATTAACACTTATCAACCTCATTCAACAGTTATATGAAAATGCCACATGCCGAGTGATTCACAATGGGAAGCTGAGTGACACCTGTGAAGTGAGGACAGGAGTTGGACAAGGCTGCCACCCACTATCACCGATGATCTTCCTGATTGTGGTCGACTGAACTCTACTGGATCATGCAATAGATAACTGTGAGGAGCTGTGAGAGGATGGGTATAGGCTGGCTGGAGTGATGAAAAGACTCGAGAAGACGACTTGGATTTGGCCAGCGATGATGACCTGTGTCTAATGTCGTGTCTCACAAACTCGAAGATGTACAAGCGAGAACCAACAAGTTGGCAGAAGAGGTGAGGTGAGGTGAGGTGAGGCGAGTCAAGGAAGTAAGTAAGTAATGAGGACGGGATTTCCTTCAAGTGAAGATAGGGAAGACAGAGGTGATGAAGATACTCAGTCAACAACAACCACCTCCAATCACAACCAACCGGAGAAACCTAAACGAAGTAGTCTCTTTCACCTACCTAGGCAATTCAGCTTCGTTTAAACTACAGGTGGCAGCACAGTTGAGGATGACAAAGACAGGATTGGGAATACAGCAAAACAGGCCATCCTGCATTAATCTGTAATCAGTGTGGAGATGTTCTGCACTCAGCATGAAGTGTGAACAACATTTGGATTTTGAAAACCAATGTCAGTCAATGTCAGTCAGTGCTTGTATGTGATGGTTGGGAAAGTTGGCGCATCACGGAAAGCATTTGCAACAGACTGCAGACATTGATCAACAGCTGTCCCCTGCGTGCACTCGATACTGACACTGGAGATCAGATGGGCAGCATAATAAGAATTAGGAAGAAGGAACTGTGGTTGTTTGCCAACGAATCAAGCAAGAGGTCATCGCCCAATAACAAATGTGCAGAGGAATGTGGAGATGGATTGGGCATACACTGATAGGGCTGATTGTGGAGATCACTCTTCAGGTCAGGTCTTCGAGTGGGAGGTAGATGGGAAAGGACGAGTTTGGTGTGCGAGGCGATGATGACATGGAGGAGGTGGTGTGAGTTAGAAATGAAAGTTTATGGGTAGTGTTGGCGCGAAGTTTTGAAGACTGGAGAGAAGAGAGTGCAATAATGGCGCACTACTTAAGACCTATGTTTCGCTTGTAATTCCCGGGAGAAATATTAAAGATAATAGTAATAATAATGTCATAGACAAAACAGCTGTATTCTTTGTTACATCTTGAACGTCAGGTTTGTTAGAGGAAAACAGCTGGAATTCCCGTACTGATACATGATAGTTTGAAGTTTATTGGCAGCATTAGTTGACTTTAGGCAGATGATAAATCCATTTTGCTGTATCCCACAAGGTTCCAGACTTAAGTGTTACACTTCCTGTGGACGGAGACTAACTTTAAATCACTGTATCCAATATCGCATAGTTTAAAGGCAGTTACTTCTTTGCAAAGTTTTCATTATGATTTAGGCTCTTCGAAGAGTAAAGTATCCCTTTTTAATCATTCATCTGATTCATCTGTTGTCCGGTATGTCGGTTACTAGTGTGATTATACTGATATGATTTTGAGCAATAATTTATGCGTGAAACATCATAAAGTAAATAATACTGTATTGTTGTGTGTTCGAAGTCAAATAAACAAATCTAATACGGAATTACACTCTATCACAATGCTTAGGTTTCACACTTATATTTAGGAGCGAAAGTCATAAGTAAGTCTCAGATACTTCGTCGCAGTTTCAAACTCTTCAGAGATACGCACCTTCGACTGCATAAGGAATGTGGCCTACGGCCATCGAACCTCACAGTAAACGCCTTACCATTCAACCACTGGCTTAGAATAGTGGACTGTTGGATTCTACTCCAGTGGCTGAATGGTAACAGGCTTATTGTGAGCTCTGATGGTTGTGAGTTAGATTCATTATATCGTTGGATGTGTACACTAGTTTGGATTGCCAAACTAGAATGAAACGATTGCCCACGGCTCTTAGGTTTTCAATGTTACTTCAGGTGATGTTATAGGGTTATGAAAATTACCTTGAAATCAGTATATCTCCAAAAATCTTCAGTTATGGCTTTGTCAAAATACTTTCACAATGTCATCTTTCAATGCTATAAAAAATACTGCTCCTAAGATTAGAGAAGACTGAGTAAAAGACAGGTTATTCAATTTTTGTATGTCTGAATGTATCTTTTTAGACTTTAAGGGGTGCATAGAACTTGTACACTTGGTGAAATGTAGTCCTATATTAGTCTGTTTATTAGAAATATCACACATTGAAACAGTAGCATTTACTGGATAACGTTTCGGACATGATTTATTGTCCATATTCATATCAGGTAACTCCACAACTTTGAGACAGACTTTATATATTCCTAGTTTTCTCTCCTTCTCTGTGATGACAAGGATAGTAGAATTTTCCTTAGATCTAGGACAGGTGCAGCATCATTTCTATCACTGTATGTCTTTGGTGTTGATTCGATAAACAAAGATTCGGTTATCAATCTCTCCCTCCACCCAACTTAGTTAGTTTTCAACACTATCTCCCTATCCCACCCTACTGTGTGATTGTGTGTCATCGCATGCAGAGCTGTAGCCGAGTTTTTCTCTAGATTTCTTATCTTATTAGGATCTACTGATCTTGATTTAGCTAAGTTTTTGTGCTCTGTTATTCTAATCGACCCTGACTAGTCGACTGCTTTGACCTATGTACTTGACCTCGCACTCATTGCAAGGAATCTGGTAAACCAGATTATTTTGCTTAATTGCATCGATGGGATCTTTTAACCTACAAAGCTTGTTTCTAAGTGAGTTTGTTGGTTTGAATGCCACTTTAATCCCAGCCTTATTCTACTGTCCTTGTCATCACAGAGAAGGAGAGAAAACTAGGAATATATAAAGTCTGTCTCAAAGTTGTGGAGTTACCTGATATGAATATGGACAATAAATTATGTGCGAAACGTTATCCGGTAAATGCTACTGTTTCACTGTGTGATATTTCTATTAAACAGACTAAAATGGAATTACACTCGACCACAGTGCCCAAGGTTTACACTTATATTAATTCCGTATTAGATTAACACAAGGTGGTATAGTTTCGGTTGAGTTGGATGGAGGTAGTCAGCAAGATGTTTTGATCCAGCTACTTTTCGTACTTTTTGGGACTCATCAGCAAGGTGTATCTGGAACCTCTGAAGAAATGAAGCCCCACCTGAGATCCAAACCCTTGTCACCTAGTGCAGCATTGAGAGACGTTATCACTAAGCTGTTTGGGCTGCGAATGACCTCCTGTAGGACCCATTTGGACACACTGATTGGTTACTGGAGAGTAACCAACTCTACGTAGTCTAGTCCCAAGTGCTGATTGACTGCTGACTGCCTCCATCAAACTAAAATCATTCTCAGTGTATCGCTATGGTGAGCTTCCTAGCCTTCTGGACACTCTGGAAAGTGACTGATAGAATTCCATGTTAGGACTATAATACATGAAGTTGGTTACCCTTCGATAACCAGTCAATATAGTTCTATTTTAGCTAGATTGTGTTTCGACCAGAATATATTGTTCAAGATAGTCGTACAACTTTCTGATCTAAATTTATAGTTCTGTTGTTTTTTATTCTTCGGTTGAATTGGTGGTAAAAATTTCTATACATTAGGAATCGGTGTTGGTTATTCCGATCACAGGTGATAGGCATTAAACGGATGAATAGAGATTCACCAATCAACTTCCCTGTCTCCGTTTGCCTGCATCAGTCTTAAAGACTGTAGCTCCGTCAAGTCCTTCTGTGTGGTTGTGTATTATTGCATGCATAGCTATGGCTAGATTCCGCTTCAGATTGCTCGTTTTAGCAGGGTATATCAGTCTAGACTTCATCAGGTACCTCTGCTCCGGTAATCTCCCTAACATCACTCGGCTAGTTTGATCTATGTGCATGACCCGTTAGTCATCTCAAGGTTTTCGGTAAGCTGAGACAGACCTGCGTTTTTAGAATCGTGTATCTAAGATTATGGTTTACATTTGTAGCTTGGAACCAAAGGATGCAACAACCAACGAAGACAAACTGAATATCATTTACAAAATCAACTGCAATAACTGTAGTCAACAGTAGTTTGGAAAAAGTGGTCGCCCTCTTTGCCTTCGTCTACATGAACACTAATTGGCCATTAAACGCCACGACATTTCGTCACTCATCTCAATGCATATGGATAATTATGGACATGAATTCAATTTCGACAATGTAGAAATTCTGGACGGAGAGAGGAAACACAAAGAATGTCAGAGAATTCCTAGAAGCTTGGCATTCAGGTCAGTCAGTCAGTCAGCAATCAACAGATGTATACACATAGACCAAATCTATCAACCAATAAGAAAAACGATAAACGACAGAAAGGTCAGAAGTGAAGCAGAGGGACAGCCAATAGGAAAGTCTATACAATCAATGACACAACAATCGAAGGAAACAACCAATCACAGACCACATCTTCAGAGCAAGTCACTAAATCACTGACGGAGAGATACTGACAGCTCACGTCATACTGTAGTTAGTGCTGATGATGTCGTCTAGCAAGACGATGAAAGCTTCACGATTAAACAATCCAGCTCAGAGAACACAATACAATCATAACCATCCACCTGAGGTGCAAATATTCTCCATCATTTCGAAATGTAATAATACTTACACGTCTTTTATGTTTAAGCGAAGGTAATCACAAACATTCTCCAAAGTTATACGATCATTATTCGTTAGTTTAAATAAATATGTCCATTTCTGAAATGATAGAAAGTAGACAAATCATTAAAAATATACATAAAATTAAAATTTATTTTACAAAAGTAAACACAAGTAGTAGATACGTACAGAATCGAAGATAAGCGTAACTTTCAATTTTTTAATTCTGTAGGAGTTAGCTAGCATAAGTTTATTTTTACTTACTTCGTAGATGGAGAAGTTATTCACTGTCTCATTGTTCTTTACCGCTTGATTTATGTGATAATATTTAATATTTTTTATCTTTGTGGGCATTTCTATGCACATCCCCAAGATTCTAAGATTAAGGCGTTCACATGCTGTGAACAACTTAACCGCACGTCACAGTGTGGACAGCCTCAAGTCATTCTAAGTGACCAACAGGCCTGTATTGTTTTATCCAAGCAGTAGCTATCAAGAGACTTAGACCAAACCGATATACTAGAAAAGATACAGTTGCCAACTTCGCACTACCAAAGTTATTTGTTAACAACAAAGTGTATGCAAATATCTGCTAAGTCATTATATCTCATACACTTTTATTTCGTCTCAAACGTGAACTCTTCTCATCTTAGTATTTAGAGTCCCATAGATTCGAAACATTTTCGTAGGTACGTCGTCTCTGATAATAACTCCTCAATCGCTTCTGAAACTTGTTCTTCATATGCTAATCCTATAAATAGTCAACCTTTCACTTGCGTTCCCAACAATCTTCTCTACTTTAACTGTCTGCATCATTTATTGTCCATGTTACTGGTTGATTCTGTCAACAACTTGTTGTCAAGTTGATAATAGTTTGTTCACTTCTTGTAATGTATATATTCTGATATCATGGGTATCATAGAAACAGCTCACGAAATTAATGTTCAAACAGCTTTCACAGTTTCATATAGGAACAGTCAGGGATGTATACTGAGATTTACACAAGCGATATCCATACACAAATTCAAACCACCTTTATGTATGCAGAAAAACAACTTGTTCTTACACTACACCTACCTCGGTAAACTTTGTTTTCTTACCAAGATTAGGATCAACTACGTCACTTCCCATTTTGTTTCCATCTTTCTTAATTCTAATCCCCTATCATGTTAATTGTTGTATTTGTCATCCCACACTTCGGTGTAATATGAATTGACTTGACAAGTAAATGTGTGATGGGTCAGATTGTTCTAGGTGTGTATTGCGCAAATACATCACATTGTTCAGATAATCTTCTGGTTACACTATCGACGTTGTATTTTTGTTTGAGAACTGGAAGAAAAGTTCTTGTCAAGGGACATTAGAAAGTATCATAAACAATACAGTACCTCAGAAATAAATTTCATTTTCAAAAAAGACAATATTTTATTGGTTCAAAATTAAAACAGATTGATAGCAAGAATACATTTATGCTGATGACTTGACTTGTTACTTCTCGATGTTGCTTGACTTTTGACCAGAATGATCAGCAAGGCTCCTTTGTGGGTACCTTAACACAAGTGATGATTTCATTTTGATATCAAAGAAGAAGTGTGGCATGAAGGAGAATCCTGGACACGCGTTTAGCTCTATTAGACCCTTATCAATTGGATGTAACTGCATCCCAGAGAACGATGTTGTCCCTATTGAGGTTCGAACCCCTCATTCATCTCTTCGAGTGCCATAGTCTTTACTTTTAGGTTTACGAGTTACGATCACGCCTCCTTATTGTTTTCTGTTGGTGATTAATTTGCAGCAAATTGATCACTCATTGTTGCTATTCAGTCTCCTGAACGTCTTGGATTTCATTGCTAATCACCTGTCATCTTATGTTAGTTAGGTGAAAGTAATAAGCAAGAAGTCCTGCTTTACCTAGCTGTCGTGCTCTTCGATACTCGTCAGCAAGGCGTATCTATAGCCTCGAAGGAACTGATACCCCTTGCGGGACTCGAACCACCGTCACCTAATACTGCAGTCGGGGACGTTACCGCGGAACCATTCGGACCGTAAGTGACTTCCTGTAGGACTGGATTGCATACATTGGCTGGTCACTGTGGCTAGCCAACTTGATGCTGCCCAGTCATATATAGTAATGTCTCTGAATCTCAGGTGGGTCATTAGTTCCGTCAAGGTTGTAAATACGCCTTGCTAACAAATGCTATAAAGTACGAAACCGAGGTCAAGCAGAGTTTCTTGTTGATAGCTTCCACCCAGTTAACCTCACTGTTTCAAAACATCGGATTTGTAAGTTTTCTAGCCTGGTGATCATATTGCAAAGTGATCGATAGGATTCGATCAGCACATAGGACTAGACAACGTGAAGTTATTTACCGCCAATGATCTATCAATATACTATGCATCTTAATATCAAATATTTTTACACCATTTCACAGTAACATTGTAGTGTACTTGTAGGATAGCAGTGGAATGCAGGACGTCAATTTCAGACTATGTGGGACTCGTCAGTAAAATATATTTGCACCCAAGTGAGTGATGTTGTTCCCATCGAGATTCCAACCCAGTACCCATTGCTCCAAAAGCCCCAGGATTATCTATGAGGCCACTGGGACATGAAAGTCACCTCTTGTACAATCGGTATCACTTGTTACTTGTAATTTCCCGTTGCCATACTGAGTCGAATTAGTCTCTCTCTATTGGTAGAAGTGTTCCTACGTGAGTGTCTACAGAATAATGAATATTAGAGCAGTTATGAGACACCCGCATAAGAAACCATCTGCCACTATAAGTAAATCAGTTTGACCCCGTACAGCAACTGGAAATTACAAGTACCGATAAACCGCTTAAAGCTGTACATAATTTAAGTGAATATTTCCAAAATATTAGGCAGGGCTTTTTTGTTATTATGCATTATACACAGATTACTCATAGGAAATAATTAACAATTGACTCTGTCAATCATCTGTTTTCACAATCCATCCAAGGAACTATGCTGATTTTCCTTTTTCTTTCAGTTAATTTAAACTAGTGTACGAAAATTTCATTCTGATCATAACAGCTATAAAGTTTATGAAAAAATATAAGGGGAGGGGGACTAGTCACTAAATAGATATCTGAACTATGCGAACGGTCTAGGTTCATTTTGTTTTAAAGCGGCAAATTCGGTAGCGTTCAGAAAATGAGGGGACATATATGAAAGTAAACGAAAAAAGAGGACTGCGAACTTATTATCCAGATATATTTCATTAGTTATGCGTATTGTCTAGGACCTATTCGGCTGCAAGACTTGTTTCACTGCATCAAACAATATATGGAATTATCCTATCCAGAAAATACAAAGTTCCAACTCTTGTTAACTCCAACTTTATTGATCACTTCACATGTGCATGTGGTAGCATGTAGGAAGAACAGAGAGACGACTGTCTACCAGCATTGAGGAGCACATGCCAAAGAGTCTACGTCTCATGGGTCCATCCTCATTTGACAGTGCAACAGCTCATCACTAATATAATACGAGATACCTAGCAGATGCAATGAAATTCCTCATGGTAGTCAACAAACAAAAGACCTATCTCTTACTTTGAATTACCAAAGTCGTCATTATCTGATGAGTTCAATGTGAACTGTAATTAGTGACTTTTCACCCTCCCGTCTTTCTCAAAAATATTTCGAATACATTCATTTTGTGCTAATACATATCCGTATTCATGTTAATTGGCGTTTCGTTATTACCGTAATTACAATTGTTACTATGTTTTTATCTCGCCCACTTATCGTCTTGATAACATAATATATTCACAAGATTATCCGATCCCTACTACTTACTTTTAATGTTATCTCACTCACTGATAAACATTCCTTGTTTTATATATAACCCTAATATAGTTTGATCATATTTACTACCTGAACTTTCTTTGTGTCCTCAATCATTACGTTTTCCTGATCTTAATAAACTTAGAGATTATTTACATATGTTAGTTGGTTGGAGGCAATCGGCAGGAAGCCCTGGACCTAGGTTTCGTGACTTTTGGAACTCTTCAGCAAGGTGTATCTGCAGCCTCGACGGAACTGATGTCGCGCCTGAGATCCGAACTCTCGTCACCCAGTGTTGTAGTCAGCGCCTTTACCACTGAGCTGTTTGGGCCACGATTGACCTCCTGTAGGACTGGCTTAAATGAACTGATTGGTCACGGGAGTGCAACCAATTTCATGTTGTCTAGTCCTGAGTGTAGACCGGATCCTATAGATTATATTTGCAATGTAGCAATCAAGCTAGGAAGCTTAGCACTGTGGCGCACAGCAGGTCAATCGTTGCCCAAATAGCTCAGTGGTAAAGTCACTGACTACAACACTGGGTGACGAGGGTTCGAATCTCAGGCGCGACATCAGTTCCGTTGAGGTTGCAGATACGCCCTGCTGACGAGTTCCAGAAGTCATGAAACCTAGGTCCAGGGCTTCCTGCCGATTGCCTCCAACCAACTAACATCTACTAATGTGCACCACGATGTTGAGCTTTCTAGCTTGGTTGCCACATTGCAAATATGATCGATAGGATTCGGTCTGCACTCAGGACTAGACAGCATGAAATTGGTTGCACTCCCATGACCACTCAGTACATTATTTACCTATTTGTTTCAGTTGTATGTAGCTGAAGAGAGTACTACCAAATAAATAACATCATTCTATACTGAAAAGTGTTTATATTGGTGTTATTCAAGTTTATAACGGCAACTAAATATATGAAACGTTATTCACTGAATCAGTAAGGTGAACACTGAACTCCTCTTTTTCTACTCCACTGGTGTCAGTTATAAACAGCTGGCTACTAAGCAAGCAGGTTACTTATATGGACAGAATCATAGCTATCTAAAATAGCTAAGATGGGAAATTGAAATCTTATATTCTGACAGTTTAAATAGTAAGAGTAGAACACGATTATTGTGATAGCGAATCATTCTGTTACTTGGCGGTTGACTGATAATGACATGATAAATTTCACGACTTTTACTGCGTCTTATAAATTCAAATTCATGTGTGAAATTTCTAAAACGATGACTCACCCAGAGAAGTCTAGATCTGCTTATAACTTTGATATATTAATTAGCTAATCTCATTCTAGTGGAGACTGGCTTTAAGACACAATAACGTGAATAGGAAATGATGTAGCTTTTGGTATACCGTCGTAATCTGTTTGTGTATCATTTTGTAGCAAAGTAAACTTGTGTTTATACACAGATATTTGATCAAAATAATGTTACTGTGAACTGTTCAAGAGATAGCAGATAGTTAGGCAAGAGTACAATGTAGTTTAGTAGGCAACCATTAAGATGTTACCAATGCATATACGTCAGCAGTTCTATCTATTCTTTTACAACCTGGATCTAAATTACTCAGCCAATCCGCTTTTCTTGGAAAATAAGACAACTGAATTCTTATGTTTAGCTGTATGAATGCAACTGCTTCTTCTCCTTCCTGACGAAATACAGGGAGACAGCTGTAATAAAGTGGATGCTAATTATCAGATAAAATGACTGTAGTTAACTATCCAGTTATTCAGTTGGACTAAAGACACACTACATAACTTACTACCAGTTTTCAGACTTCCATACAGCATAACTTAGTTCAGCTTTAGTAAACGTGGAAAGAATAACAGGACGAAATAAAAGGGAATAGGTCAAATACAGGAACTAATAAGTTATGAAAGCAGAGACTGAGTTATTTCAAAGAGTCCAAGTTTCCTTAAGCAATGCATTAGGTGAAGGACCTTCTTTCAAGTCAATAAGATCTGAGATCGCCAACAAAGATCAGAAGAAAAACTTAGTCCATGGTAGGTAATACTTGTTCTACTTTCATAATCGTAATAAAATCGATATTTCTGGAGTCATAGAAGCGCAGTAGGTCACTTTGGTCTTTGTCTATGCTTGAGGTATTTAGAAACGTTTATCCGAAGGCTATTTGAAGACGATCGTCGGTCAATTTCAGTTAAAAAACCATTCATTTCAGTGCAATCTAGCTGCAAGTTAACTGGGGGAGAAACTATTAGCTCATTAGCATGCCTAATGAAATTAGTCTTAGCAGAAGTAGTTAAGTCATAGGAAAATAAGAAAAGTGGAAATGGAGAGTGTTGCACCTTAAGGCACACCGGATTCAGTAAGCAGTAAAGTTGAGCGGTCCCCCTTATAAACAGCTTACTGTTTCCCTTCAGAAAAACAAGAATGCAGCCAGTTTGTGACCCAGGGTTTGTTATGCTCCAATGTAAGCTTTTTTGGGAATAATGATCTACGAATGGAGTCAAAGGGAGTTATTAAACTTAAGAAGGCAGAATCAACATACTTAGGACTTTTGTTTAGACTGGAGACAATATTACAATATTATGCACTGTACTCTGTGGACTTTAAGTGTAATCACTCAATTTGTTTTCGAAGGTGATATCCACTCTATCGTCAAATTAGATTACTATGATATGTTCACTGCATAAGGTGAGTGTCTGAACTGATCCAAGCTTAACTGCACATAGCTTCTAAGCATTCAGTGCTATTTAGACAGTTAAATTGTCAAACGAGTGAGGATATTACCAGTCATATTAGTTTAAAAGATTTCATTCATCACTTTATATCACATTCAAAGTAAAAAACAACAGCGTGCAAGTTGTATGAATTGCGACAAACGGGACTTCAGTTAGCGGATGGCTAATGATGCCCTATGGCATAACATAGAACAATACGTAAATATCAGGAACTCAGTCACTGAATGAGGCGTAGTTCCAGTCGAGTGAAGTGAGGATTAATCAGATCATTTTCAGTAGGACAAGTAACAAACAAATAAAAAGTTGAATAGTAGTGTGGTGCTAGAGAACCATGTGGATTTCCGACAGAGATCCGAATCAATTTGACTACAATCCCAGAAGGAGTACTTTAGCTAGTCTGAACAATGGTGCTAAGTATGTTAGATCTGCCTTCTGAAATTATACTTCTGCTTTTGATTCTGCCCCTGGACTCCTTTTATAAAACAAGTTTGCCAGAACTCATATTGAGTCCTGGATTGGTAACTGACTTCATTCTTGTTTTTATGAGAGAAGAAAGTACACTGTTTGCGAAGGGAAGCGCTCTACTTTGCTACTCAGTGAAGTAAGTGTCCCTCAAGGTGATGTCTTTTTCCTTTTCTTTTCTATTTTCTTTCACATGACCTAAAAACCTCAGCTAAAGCCAACTTAGTCAAATCCGCAGATGACCTAACGGTATTCTGCTGACCTTCTCTTCTTCAGATTGCTCTCAGTTTAATAACTTGTTAGCGGAAAGTGGTCAGTGGTCTTCCTTAAATGACCTCAAGCTCAACCCCCCCCCCCCAGTGTCAGATGGTTAACTTTAGCTTGAGATGTGAACAAGACCTATGTAAATAGCTTCAGTCCCATGACTCTTGTCTGACAGATGGCACTGTTGTAGAGGACGTAACAAGCGTGATCTATCTGGGCTTATGCTTTCCCTTTGATCTTTCATTCTTTCCTCGTGTTTGACTGAGTGAGAAGAAAATCCTTCGCTTGACCTTTTATATTAGAAAACTCAGAGTGTCTAGTGTAAGTCAGACTATACTCTTACTCTTCATTAAATCGTAATTTTTGCCTATGCTTACTTATTTTTTCCCCTGAGTCTTTCTTGTGCTCCGCTGCATTACGTAGAATTTCAAAGGTTGTTAGTATAGCAAGTAGTACATTACTAACCTTGAAGATAAATGTGGTCGTGGGTTGGCATCTGAACTCTTGTAGACTACTGGCTAAAACTATTTTATCGGACGACAAGCATCCTCTGCATCCATACTTCTGTCCATATGTGTCATCAGGGAAAACAGGAATCAAGTAAATAAAACTCGATGCACGCAAAACTACATACAAAACTTCAACCACCTTATTTAGCTTGTGTATTGTGGAAAGAAAGCCATGTTAGGTAATCTAACTAATCACCTTTGCAAACGCGAAGAGATATCATGACCTTGAGCATATATATATATATATATATATATATATATATATATATATATATATATATCAGCCACATGACTAACCTGAACAATGTCGTTGTTCCATTTACTGAATCCTGAATAATTCTTTATCTGATTACTTGTGATGACTTCCTCTTTATTCTTATCTACTTCGAAAAATGTTTGTAGGAAATCATTTGTTGGTTCTGTTGTCGTCTGATGATGACCGTTCTTCATGGTGTTATAGACGATGCTGACAGTGTTGAAAAAATATAAAATATATCAGTATCTTTGACTATCTTTGTTTATATACATACACTTATAGGTGTGTTCTCTTATGAATGTCTTTTCTTTTCATCTCAGTATACCTCTGAATCAACACTAAAACTAGGTGAATACAGTTTCGTATCAAATATTGAATGGTCTACTGTTAAAAGTAATATGATAAATGACCAGTCAAATATGATAACATTATACTCAACAACAATAATAAAACTTGTCACTATACAATCTTGAATTCTTTCAAAGTAATGCTTTCAAGTTTATAGTCAAATTATCAAGTGATTATTAAAGACTATTATCGCTATTGTATAATTAAGTCAAAAAATTTACAAGTAACCAGATAATTTACTTAAATACCACCTAATCGACTATTGACATAATAATATTTTATTATGCCTAAATACGCATCATTATAACCATCTACTTAAATGATCATCTCAGTAGTTGTGTAATGAAGTGAATAGTTGGATTACTAGCTAACAAACTAACTATTTACCGAAAACAACCATTTCTGACTTAGTATGTTAATATATTCATCATTCAGTGTCAACATTTTTGTAATTCTCTGAAAGTTTATAAAATCCGTGTTAAATGACACCTTAACAGTGTTAAAGAACAGAATAGGTAAAATATTCATGAAATATTCAAGTACAAACTAACCTTTTGTCGATATTTTAGTTACATAATAATATCGAGTGAATGAAATTTCGTATGAAAATATTTTAAACTAATCGGTGCATTTGCCTTGCACGTTTCTATTTTTCTACTAGAATTATGTGTTGAAGACAGAAATGGGAGTATGACTTTCGATATCGTAGACTGATGGTGTCGATCAGGGGGAAGTTAGGACATGTGTTTCGTCTTATCTGCAACTCATCAGTTGAGTGCATCCATATCTTAGTGATGATATTCTCATTAAAAGTTGAACCCATTAACGATTACTTCAAACTCCATCGTGTTAGTTTCTGGACTATTGAGTCATGACAGAAAAAAATGTGTAAATTACACTGATTGTTACTGTTTCTATTTGTTAGATCGGAGAGATCAGTCTTATTTAGCTGACACCAAATTTCCTGTCATCATTTGGATACTGTCATGATTCTCATTTTTATTTCTTCGTTAGACCGATTTGTATTGTTCCCTTGGCTTGGTACACTGGTGAGCTTAACTTATGAACTTTGTTGTTATGACATTAAACTATCTGTTATGTGCAGTTATGCATTAGATCTTGCACAAAGCAGCTGTTTCTACTGTTTTTCATGTTGGAAGGGTGAAGAATATTTGTAGCTCAGGTGAATGATCTTGGTTGTTCATTTTGGTGGTTTCCAGCGGTTTACTGATTTCAGATTGGTCCTGGGTGCGTACTGTTAAGGAGTCGCATACTGGGAAGAAACAAGCGTCCAGTCCTCTCAGGTTCCAAATGTTTTTTCGACTGATATCAGTCCATGATGAATATCAACCTGAAGTTTTTTATTGTATTAAATTCTCTGGGCTGAATTGTTTAATCTTAGAGCTATCAACTAATAAAAAGATGACAAACAACAGAAAGGTCAGAGGTCAAGCAGAGGAAAAGCTAACAAGAAAATCACATTCAACTCTCTGCTTGAAATATGACCAATCTAATGTTTACTATTTGACGATCATTTAGGGTTTCTAATTAGCCTTTGGTTGTCTTTAAGAATCAAAATGGCTGAATCGTTCCGCTGAAAAAGGTGAAGTATTTTGTCAAAGTACAATAAAGGCGTCTGCGAATACCTATCAACAGTAATAATGCTTGGTGAGACGAAACGGAATGAAATAAGTTCGGAAGTGAAAACCTGTGTCGTGGCAGGATTTGAACCAGTAGCCTTCGAAAGACTAGCCTAGCGCTCTACCAATTGAGCTGCGATACCCAGGTGCTAATCACATCTTAATTTTCCTTGGTCACCAAAAGCTTTGTCTAACTGCCATGTGAACTCATGATGGTCGACTGTCTGTTTATCGTATCCACACACTATTTGCTTTCACTCACCATCAGGTAACAATGATATGAGTTTTCCAAACCACGGTTATCTCATACGGTCAAAATGATGCCTTTCCACGGTAATTCACCTCGATTTTGATTGTAATGCGAAATCCTGACCTGGCAGCCAGTATGAATACAATGAATGGACAGTTACACATCATGAATTTATGTGGCAGTAAGATGGAGTCTTTGGTGATCGAAGCAAAATTAAGATCTTATCAACACCTGAGTATCGTAACTCAATCGGTAGAGCGCCAGGTAGGCAACTCGAAGACCACTGGTTCAAGTCCTACTGTAACCTGAACTTTCATTTCACCTTCAGTCAGCACCCAACATCAATAATACGAGTTTTTCAAGCCATAGCTATCTTAGGCAGTCACACTGATCATGTATATTCCATTCGTTTACTGTAGCATTCAGATTGTCGAGTAATTCATGTACTACGGCCTCATTTTTTCGATGTAAAACACTCCTACACTGTTGGAGAGTCATAGCTGGCAACTTAACTCTTATAAATAAGAACTCAAAACATGCAAGTTCAGAACCACCTGCACGAATTGAAGCTCGATTTCCTAAGTCATTTTAATGAACAACTGCTAGGTTACGCGTTGTTTTTGTTGTTACTAAAGGTTTGGCTAGTCGTCCTGTGAGTTAAGTGGCTCAGCAAATACTGAACCAAGCGATTCAGTTTCGTTATTTTAACCAGAAAAATAGCTTTCTTTATAAAACAAATAGGCCTAATGAAGTTTTTTATTAGTTGTTAGATTAGTGTTTAAGGTCACTCCACCGAATATGATTATACTTCTGCATGTTTGTAATACGCAAGATGTTTATCAATCGTGAGTTATACAAGAATCGATATTGGTTACAAAATATTTTAGTTATCATTTATCTACGAGACTACCAATTCATAATAATCATTGCACCTAATTCTTATGCTAGTCAAATGTAAGCCCTTACTATCTTTTCCGATATCATGACACCAAACTACTACTTACATGCATCCTTGCAAGTAGTATACACCAAACCACAAGCAGTGTCACGGCTACCAGACTAATAACTATCATTAGGCTATGAATTAAGTTATGTTGAATTAACACTGAAGTAATCTACACGCTAGGAAGTTTGAGTAGTTGTGAGTTATAGAATATAATTAAAACTTGTGGGGAGCATAGTTTAAAAATTTATAGTAGATGAGGTAGTATTCTTAAAAACGTCTTTACATGAAATTCTGTTATCTTTAAAAATACTTTGAAGAGCTATATAATCATTTACAATACAACTATCGCTCAGATTGCAGAACATCATATGAGTTACCCTAAATTAGATTATTTTGGTCAGTAAGTAAGGTAATACATAATTTCGGCCAGAAAGTAATTCTTTCTGGTGGGCTGGAAGAGCTTCGAACCAGTAAATTTGAGAGGGTCTTTTCAATCATCCTTGGTCGTTCTTTAATCTCATACTTCAAGCTTGAAATATTGCATTGATCCCAATGAGGTGGTTATCGTTACCCAGTGGTTTGGTGGATAATTCTCTGGCAGTTGAAGAGAAGCTTATTGGATTCGAGCTTCCATGGGAAAAAAATCACTCACTGGAATGCAGGTACATCTAACTGACGAGTCCCAAATAGGATGAAATATGCATTGTGGATTCCTCTGCTAGTCATCAAGATGAATATAACATCATGAATATCCAGTAGTACCGAGGCATCCGCACAGCAGCTTATCTGGTAACAGAGGTCGGGGAATTCAGCCCTGTATAGCAATGAGAAATTACAAGTATCATTACAATAGGCTTGAAATATATCTTCATTTTTAATGTTAACAGTGATCTCAAATATTGTAAGTGATAAGACTAACGCTCTCGTTTGCTTCTCCAAAAGGGATTTTTTAAGTCCTTCAGATTTTATTTGAGTTTCATTCCATTCTCCCATAAGCTAACGTTTTTAATTCTTCAGTGACTCAAGTTTTCATGCAAACTTCAGTCATCATCCCAGCACACATATATGAGTTATTTAAAGCATTGCTATTTCAGATAGCGTAATAACCACCTGCTACAGCGGTGTACTAATCTGATATATTGATTTTTAAGGCGTAAAACTTTCATTTTAATATGAAACAAAGTTTTAGCTCTACTTTAGAGTAAATATTTGATAATACCAGTTCCCAGAATTCACAATCCCATGACTAAGTTAACATTTAAACGATATTTAGCTGCAAACTTTATGCAAACTTCATTCTCCATAGCAGAATATGTAATGCATTGTGAAACCTCAAATCCAGTGGACTAGAAAACTCTCAAACACACTATCAAAAATCGAAGTCACTGAATAACTAAAAGGTTTATCCCGAATCAACACCTTATTACTTTTTCTCTTGAAACACTGTTGAACGCTTATGGAAATAACAAGAAAAACTATTGTGAACATTGTACTATGTAGTGGTACTTTTAGGAATCCTGAATCCTGTGAATCTAAAGCTAGGCAAAAGAAGAGGCATTTTAGCTTGCATAACGGGTACATACACACATATTGTTATTCTAGATCATTCCTTTGATCTTATTTTCTTAGCTGACACAAACCATCTGACCCCTTTTCGCACATTTTATGTAACCTCCCACAATATATAGAACACATATGCTTCTCGCCTTACTTTTATATCTAACTTTTACCCTAGAAAACATAAAAATGTATTGATAAGTATATTATTATTTTTCCCTTAAGTTCCTAGTGGAACATAGGGCTTCAGTAGCACGTCACCATTGCACTCTCTTCTCTGCGGTCTTTAAAACGTGGCACCGCCACTGTCCACAAGTTTTCATTTCTTCCTTACACCATCTCTTTCAGGTCACCTTCGCCTCGCACGCCCAACTCGTCGTTTCACCTTTGGATTCCACTCGACGGCTTGCCCTGGAGAGTGATGTCCCCAATCGGCCTTCTCAATGTATGCCC